CAAATTGGTCGCCACACCCCGACTCACCATTGGACTTTGGTCATCAGGATGCTCATATTCACTTTTTTATCTGGATTGATGGATGTTCCACCCAAAATTTACGAGACTGCCGATGACTATGAAGTGTTTTCTCACTTCTCTTACTTCTATCTGTCACAAGTTACAGATTCAAGGTATATATCACCGGACCAAGATCAAAGATCCGGTCAGCTGCAGTCATAAGATCATTTCTCTACATGACAACACTTCTATTTTTAACAAGGTTTGGTAATAATGATATGAGATGGTCATTTTCCACGATTTTCTTGAGAGTTGTGGTTCTGTTATGATTGTTTTATCCCATAATGTCTCTTTGCTTTGTGAAATATGGAAATGCATCATTGTTAACCATGTATTGTCATTTTTTGCTCATCCTAGGATTTTCCACGATTTTCTTGAGAGTTGTGGTTCTGTTATGATTATTTTATCCCATAATGTCTCTTTGCTTTGTGAAATATGGAAATGCATCATTGTTAACCATGTATTGTCATTTTTTTCTCATCCTAGGAACTGATGAGATTAAACATAAGTTTGAAGTCTAGCTGTAGAATTTATATATTATCATGTGAATAGGACTAACAATTCCCGCAGCAACGCGCGGGGAATCATCTAGTAGCTAACAGAAGCATGGCCTATTCCCCCATCCATCGGCATGTTTGGGGATGAACCCGCATATTGCGAGTCGGCTGCCGATGAATAAAACTGTGAGACGCCCTCCTGTACATGAGGTGTCATATATTGATCACTTGAACAAATCGTGTCGTTCACCGGCATATTGAAAGATGTTGCCGATGCACGAAAGTTCAGATTCATAAGTTGCATGTCGCGATTCTGTAAATTCCAAGTTTCTCCAACGGAATAACTAGTCGGCCTTTGCTCGTTAGGGCTAGCCGACATGACATGTCCATTGAAAGATCTAGCAACATCAACATAATGGCTATTTGCATCTACGTAAGGAGATTGATGATACATGTTACCGTTGTAGATTGCAGCCGCTTGATGACGCTCTCCTCGTAGCAAAAACAGGCTAGATACTGTTCAAAGCTTCGTCCCCAGCGGAGTCGCCAAAAGTGTGTTGACACACGAACACGTCACCGTGTACCCTCGACGCCGGGGTGATGCACCGCAGCTCACGTCGAAGGAGACCCGACCGACAGCGCGATACGTAAGACAGTCAACGGGCGCTTTTGAAGACCCGAAACCCCACACGCCCGGGAGGGACCCCGTCAGGGAGTGCGGTGGCTATGGACTGCCCTAGGTCGATTCGCTCGCCCCTAGAGCCTCATGGATCGCTGCCCTCCAACGCGAAGAACGAACGAAGAACGAGAAAGAAAGATACAAGGGTAGGGAATAAAGATAGATGGACACAAAAGTGTAATAGATTGATTGGTTCGATTGGTGTTGTTCAATCGCCATCACCCCCAACATATATAAGAGGCGGCTGGACTTCCCGTACAAGCAAAGGATTCATCTAGGCTTTCCTTACAAAAATTACATCAATTCACGTCCTAGAGTCCTAGTTCTATTCCAACTCGGATTCAGTCTGAATCTGGCCCAACTTCTGTCTTCCTCCTTGCGCGGGCCGCCGAGCTTGCATATGACCTCCGATCAAGACGACCCAAATATGAAACTTGTGCGCCTCGACGAGACGAACAATTCTTATGTTGAACACTTTTCCAAATAAGACAATCTTGAATATTCTACGAAGCCATCTTTAATATCCAGTCGGACTCGGTCATATAACAGACTGGATTGTCCGAGTCTCGTAGTGAACTTACAGGCCGTATACTATCTCATATCATAATGACTCCAAAACCAAAGTTCACCGTTTTGACGATGCGCACAACTTCCGTGTTGATCACTTTTCCATCCGAGGTCATCTGGATTACCTTTCGGGCACATCTTCAGTTTCACTCGGATCCGAGCTCATCCACTCGGATATTAGAGTTTTTCGTCCGACTGGACCTTTTCACTCGGATGTTAGAGTCTTTCACTCGGAAGACAATCTTTCACTTGGATAACTATAATTTCACTAGGAAGACAATCTTTCACTCGGATGACTATATTTCACTCGGGAGGCAATATCTTACTTGAACGTCAAGTTTTCATTCCGACGGTAATCTTTTCACTCGGAATAACTTCACTCGGATGGTAATTTCACTCGGATTACTATATTTTCACTCGGAAGCTAATCTTTTACTCGATCGATAAGTTTTCACTCGACCTTTTACTCGATCGGTAGGTTTTCACTCGGATGGTAAACTTTTCACTCGGATTTCCCGACTAAAAACACAGCCTGATCTTGATTTGCCTCTCCAGGTTGCATACGACCTCGGATTGAGACAAATTATATATGAAAGTCGATCGGCTCGACGAGAAGAAACTTTTCCGTGTTGAAGGTTTTTCAATTCAAGGCCGTCTTGAGGGCCTAATTGCTCATGCATTGCATTAGACACTCATCAACATGTGTCTGGTGTCAAGCGTAATATTTTGGTCTCTGGCTTGTCCAGACCGTATTAACTGTAACTTTTGCATATGAACTCGGATTGAGATGATTTATATATCAAAATCGATTGCCTCGACGAGACGAAGACAATTTCTTAAGAGTGCTCCTTCATCCGAGGTCATCTTGAAGACGCGATTGGCTAAAAACCACTCGAAATATTGAATTATGCCACTTGGAGTATAGTTTCGGTCCGTAAGATAAGGTCGAATGAATATAACCGAAACATCAAAGTTGTTCCACTCGGCGACGTGAATCTTTTCATGCTGAAAAAACCCGTTCACTCGAGACCATCTTCATTGCAAAATCTGTATCTTGCCAAAATCAGGTGTCAACAGAGGGCGACCAGCCTGCCGTCGCCTCGGGTTTTGTAAGTATCACGAGGCAAAGGGAATTGTATGCGATAACAGAAAGTTCACTCGATAAAGATCTACGTTGCTATGCGAGAATTTTTATGGGTGTCCATATCCCGCTAATAATTATTGACTGGGAGGTGTTCCAGACATGCCCGCATATTATCGAACCTGTAGGTTCACGTACTTAACGCCTAGTGGTATTTAAGAGAACTAGGAGGTATAGAGAATGAAAGAAGAGCTTCTCAAAGTG